CCTACACTCAACCACTTGTATTAAGACTGATGCTAATGTCAGTTCATGAATTTACTTGTAGAAAAGCTAACCAGTTCAGTGATAATAAGAATGTTCCTCGAAAAGGTGAATAGAATTTTCTTAGGCGTTCATCAAATCTCCTACTTTACGGAAACTAAATGTTCATTACCGTGGCCACAAAACCCAAACACTAGTCCCTCCGGTCCAGCATAATATACTGATGATTCTCTAAAGGTGTTTGTGACAATGATTAATTCATAAAAGAGCAATTGGATACAATGAATTGTCTCAGTCATATTTTGTATAAATGCAAAACATTTCAGGAGTTAAGTGCCGAAACGTCGTTAATATAAATTATACTTCAGATAATTGTCAACTCCAAGTATACTGTTCGTAAATTCACTCAACAAAATCCATGAAGTAGGGTCCTTCTTAAGCAGGTAATAATCGCTCAGATATTCAATTCTGAGCCTCGTACGGAATCCGAATGTTCATTTACGTGTTCAAAAAATCCTGCCATCGCCACTAAACCCTATCCGAACTAGATTAATCCAGTCTAAACATCATTTGTATATTTAGCTAAAAATAAACATAATAATCCTGGAATTGGTTAATTCACAATGTAGCATAAATTTTGTAATTGAGAAGATGTCACTAAATAAATAAATAAATAAACAAATAAATAAATAAAGAACATTACGAAATATTATTTAGTGTGAAATAGTCTGAAATAGTGAGTTTGAAGTTCTCCCCTCTCTGTACGCCTATATATAATTTTTAACCCTAGTTATATTTGTTAAACGTCAAAATGAACCTTGAAGCGTACCTCACATGGCGTCTACCTTCATTTGTCAGCCACAAGACCCCCATAACAACACCGTCTACTGTTTCCACTACTGCAGTATCCGGAGAAACCAGAAACTTATCACGACATAAATTAATTTCCGTCATTTTAAAATATGATCAGGGCAATACCTGGAGGGGAGTTTGCATTGTGGGGTGTGGTATATATACCCCTAACAAACACTTGGGGAGTTAAAGTGTTGAGTTTTGCTACAGTGCCATTGGTGAAATTCAGGCTTTGCCGGAAGTGGGCGTTGAAAGACAGCGTGTTGCCTCGCTGCCGTGTTCTGAGTCCATCTCGATAGCAGGCTGCCTGTTCTAACCTGCATAATGACGAATGTTCGGAGCCATTTCCTTCCACGCTCCCAATCTGAGGCAGCAACTCACGTAAACACACTTCTCGACTAGGATTTGAGGTTTCCATGGCGGCGATTACGAGGATGGCTGTCTTCTGGGTTGTAGCGCAGTGTAGTCTGGTACAAGCTTACAAACGTTTCGGAAGTTCTTGCTGCTGCCATCGTCAGGGTGACATTCGTAAGCTTCTACCAGACTATATAGTGCTACAACCCAGAAGACAGTCATCTTCCATTTATCGACGTTTGGATGGCCAGTTGTGGGTACGATAGCTGAAAATTGTGAACAGTGATCTACGAATCCTAAAACGAGTGTTCGCTTTATTACCATGTCAGCAGTTTTTCTGTCTTGTACAGTCATGTGAGAAAGCGAATATCTTTAAAATTTCGTAACTTGTGAATATCGCCGTCTGCCAAATTGGAGTACTCTTTGGAGTACACTAACATTCAAAAGACGTCTTTATGTCACGTTCGGGCGACGGAATCAGTGGGACAACCAAGGGAATAATAGCTGAAATAATGTAGACTTTATTTTTGCGACAATGCTATTCACGGTTACTGTTGTAACAGTATGATGAAAGACTCGACAGACAGACAGACAGACATATAACCACGGACCATTAGTTGTTTTTCTCTTACGTTAAAGAGAAAATAATGCATGAAAACGAAATTTTCCACAGCAGATATAGTTTATTTTACAAAATTAAATCTCTGTTTTAAAGTAAAAAATGAGAAACTCTTAATAATGGTATATTTTAAAGCCTAGTTCAATTAAAGACGGAAATTTCTTGACTAAATGAGCGACTAATTAGCTCATAGATTAGTCCATTAATTGGCTGTGCGCCTGTCTGCCGGTGACTGGATGTCATTACACTAACAAATATTTCAATTCTGTTTTTATTTTAGTTACGGTCTTGTGGGATTCAAGGTCATTTTAACGCTAACCTTCTACTCTAACCGTTGGGTAACCAAATTTATGCAGTAAACCTGTTCAGATTGTAGATTGAGATGTTAAATTTAGCTTTACCATTTTATACCCAAAGCGTAGCTTCTTTGTATTAGAATAAGCTCTAAGTGCTTAACATTCTTAACGCCGCAACTCTGACTGCCATTCGATCTTCAAGTCGGAGAGATTATTTCAACCTAGTCATATCCGGTGAATACAATAAACATGGCTTCTGTGCAACATGTCGGTAATTCAAATTGAAATAAAATAAATTTAATTAGAAATAACTGAATTTTGTTTGCCCAGGACAGGGCCCGGTGGAGGGCTTTTGTTAGTTCGATGATGACCTTTCTGGTCCGTAAGCCATCTAGTTAGTTGGTTATTAGAAATAACTGCGTGCGTCGAATGACTTACAGACGACGTCCTTTGGTTCACTACTATCTGTCTGAAGATGAACGAAAAGAAAAAAAGATAAATTAACGAATTGTAATAGTATTTAACGACGAAATAGCACATATTAAAGATAATAAACAGCATGACTGTTTAATTTTCAATTATCCGTTTGTATTAGAATAACATACAAATTAATAAACAACACACAGTAATGAGTACTTGTTTACATATGAAAATTATGCTTGTTAATTTGATGAACGTGGTGACATAATATTTCAATAAAATGAATTTTCCCCTCCACACTTACACACTTCAGTACCCTTTTTTGCAGAAATGACGTAATACCTATTTTTTTAATAAATAGGAGGGTACGGGAGGGCCGAATATTTGTAGAAACTGGACAGAGTTTGCAGCACGCATTAAAAATTAATACAGAATATTAGTTAAGAATATGAGGAAAGGGACCACTTCGAGACCTGAAAGTTTACGTGATTATAATACTAATAAGGCTGAAAATGAAATGTTACTGGACTCATTTGTTTTAGGACATGCCTCGTTGGTGTTCTCTGAAATCAGTTGAGGTTTCGTAAAAGCGGAATTTAAAGACAAGAGAGCGACTATCACGTCCGACACTTAACAAAATTCGAAAATACATTACCTTGACCATAGGCCTGCGCCAGACGACGCCGTTCACGTCTTCACATATTTTTTGGAGATTAATTTCAACTTTACCTTCTCATCTGCGCGTAGGTCTCCCGAATTATGTTTCCGGCGGTTCTACTAAGAATTTCAACCTCGCGCGTGTTACATGCCTCGCTGTCTCAGCCCTTCTTCATTTTCTATAGTAAATTTTGAAAAGGACACAAATTATGAAGCTCCTCAATCTAATATTGTCTTTAAGTTCGTGTTGCTTCTGTCTATATCCTCAGTCCCCTGTTCTTGATTACCGTGTCTGTTATCCTTTGTCAGTATCCATTTTGCTTTACTATTTTTTTTTATTTGTGTTCTGTCTGACGACAGGTCCATATGAACAGGATCCTCCCATCCTTTTCTCGGACTGGGACCTGTTCATATACGTTCTTGGCAGATGATCCAGAAGTGGTTTGCCATTGCCTTCTTCTGTGTGTGAATGGAGTAATGGTTGGGATGCCACGGAGGAAAACTCCGTGTTGCCTAGACCACGGCCTCGCCCAACACAAGTTATAAATCCGGGCACCGCCGGGAAACGAAGTGGGTACCCGGGGTTAAAGCGCCAGGAGCTATGCAACTCCTGGTGACAAGTTTGTTTTGTTTACACCGTCTGAGAAGCGTCGAAGGAAAAACTAAAATGCGATGAGTCAGGAAGAGTGAAATGGTCATGAAGGGACTGACATCTCTATCAAAATATAAAACATTTACGATCGAGTGACGACAGGTCAGGTCCATATGAACAGGATCCTTCTTCCATCCTTTTCTCGGACTGGGATCTGTTCATATACGTTCTTGGCAGATGATCCAGAAGTGGTTTGCCATTGCCTTCTTCTGTGTGTGAATGGAGTAATTGTTGGGATGCCACGGAGAAACCGGGGAAGCCCCCGGAGGAAAACTCCGTGTTACCTAGACCACGGCCTTGCCCAACACAAGTTATAAATTCGGGCACCGCCGGGAATCGAACCAGAGACCCCAGGATTACAAGGCCAGCGTTCTAACCGCTAGACCACCGTGGCTATTTTTGCTTTACTATGGATTAAGAATTTATTAATTTCCATACTGATTTTTACTTAAATAAACCTTCTTCTGTTCATGTATTTTAAAGGTTCCTGCAACATGAATTTCTATTGTTTAAAAAATCTTAAATAATTAGCTTCTAAAAGATGGCGAGACATGTTTCCTTAATATTTTCATCATCATAGTCATTTATTAATTTCTAGGCATGTTTCGATTATACACATTCAAATTTTTTTACGTCACTGGAAGCTCCTAAGCCCCGGATTTTGAATTTCAGAAGTCGGTTTTCAATTATCCTGTCAAATATTTCAGCCCTTTCTATTCACAAATTTTTATTGTACTGATGTCTAATAATCCGAGTCTCTCCCCTACATATTCACCATATTTGCAATACGTCCTTCATTTCATATTCTTCGATACTGTAAGGAAACTTATTTCTGCTATCTCCATTCTTCTTATTTGTTCATTATTTGGAATTGTATAAAAGCTCCGGTACGATTATTCAATTACTCTATCGCATTATTTTTCTCCTGTTGATTTCCCTATATAGTCTGGAGATGTGGTAAATCGACAAACGTCAAACTAGTATTGGCTATATAATGACTATATTCGTCTACGCGGGATGACTAGTACAAAGCATGGAAAAATAAATGACTGACTAGCGTTATGCCACTTAAGCCCAAAGCTACTACACCTAAGTGGAATGAGGAAACTGTAAAAGGCAAATGAAACATGGTGGAAATAATATGAATGCAATGTATTCTTTTCGATATTCGTTATTATTCCTTATTCTTTTTGTTTCTACAATACAAGGCACACACAAATATACAGTTACCAAAATACCGAGGTGAAGCGGCCAAGTATAACCAGGAACCTGGGAACGAGGTGAAAATGGCACAAAATGTTTTACCGTCAACTTAATCGCTGCTTCTAGTCTGCCAAGATAAAACAAAAAGTTTCGTAAACAACTGAACTAGATTTCCATGCATCCCACATTGAGGAATATTATTCACGAATCAGATTTCAATTAAGCCTACCTTCACATAATAAAACGACTTTAAATTCATTATACTTAAAATCGTTTAATTAAAATTAATTAATTTGATCCTAATTATACCAACAGCATCTAAAAACTGCTACTTTTTAGAACAATCAAATCGTTAAACTCATAAAGAAATTATGGAAGATATTCGCCTTCTCTTTAATTTTAGCAGGATTTTATGTTGTAAAATGCTTGATTTATATTTATTTGCTTGTACGTATATCTTTAAAAATAATCACCAGCTTCAAGTTATTTTGAACAAATAACTTTCGTTCAACAAACAAAAGTTCCATGTTTAAAATTAATTCATAACTCTCAAAAAGTCAGAATTAGAAATACGCGATTAATTATATGCTAAGAAGCTTCATTAATTGCCATATTAATTACTCTAGTAAGGTACTAAGAAATATTTTATTAGAGTAAAATTATATACAAATACGCAAGCACAAAGTGCTGAATACAAAGGCCAACAAACTAATTTTATGACAACGATAATATTAAGCGGTTTAGGAAGTTATTTGACTCTCATTACAACTGAGCGTTCCTGAACGTCGCCTGGACTTCTGTTACATTAAGCGTTTTTGAAGGTTGTTTTGCTTTAGGTAACATTGAGCTATTTTGATACCGGCTTAGCCTTCTCTATTATTATCCCTCAGGACTTTTCTTATACTCACTGCTAACAGACACAGAATAAAAAAAAGATTATACAGCGGTTCGCATTTGTGGCCCTAAACGCACCGAGACACAGGCATTTAATAGGGTACATTTAAAATCATGTTTCAGTGCGTTAATTTATAACTTTGCTTGAATTACATTAAACACATAAATTAACTTTCGATATATCGTTTTAAGTGCGTAACAAATGAGACACGTTTTATAAAGCCGTTTTTGATATTAATAAGATATTTTTATTATACCATGTATGTAGCTCCTTTTGAAGTTGATAAAATTTTACTCCTATTCCTAGAAATATTATGGATGCTTCAGACGTAAATGTTTTCGCACTTGTCTATCTGCTTTTGTTGCACAAATAAAAAGTTTATTGATTTCGTATTTGCGAACTCATAGGTTGACATGTAGTAACCGCGTTTATTTCTCTGTATTATTTCAATTAACGTACGTCTTACGTAGAAGACCGGGCATTATAATTACAATTATGAGACGCTGTGTCATTCAATCTTTGAAATGTTTCACAAAATCAGTAAGCTACGTTTTTATTATCTGTCAACAAGCATGACTCGTTTCTGCGCTTAATTCGCATTGTAGTTCACTCCGAGTCCTTATTTGTTCGAATTAGGTAAGTTAAGATGACGGGAGAAGTGGTCATATTAACCGTGTTAGCCCGACTAACACGGTTAACATGAAATCTCCGTCCCAAAATTTCTGTACATCAAACGTCATACACAAAATAATGTACAGGCCTCGATCCCAGGTACCTCAGAAATTGGGGGAGGGAGTTCTGACTAACGAAGAGTGCAAGGGAAATACTTACAGTAATAAATAATACGTATTAGCTTCAGTCACAATCGTTGGAAATTTTATAACCCAAACATTTAATTATAAAAATCATGTAATATGTTGTTATTATGCTTAAAAATGTTAAGTACCATACAAGAAATTGACGTAATTTCTCATAGCTTTATATGACACTTAAGAAGGATTCACAGTTGTAATACAACTAAAATGTTATTGACTCTAGTGTCTTGCAAAAGAATCACTATTTCACTGTGCACTGTGTGAAAGTGTGTTCAAAATTCCGGTAAAATTTCATACTAAATGAATTTTTGGAGAAGTGTTTTCCGAATATGATTGTCAAAAGACCGTATACTGGTGTGCTGAATGATGGCGACTTCTGGTGGCTGCTTTCAAAAATCATGTTAGTGCTTGTAACGAGTGTTTATTACTAGCGCCACTGAAATGGGGGCAGCGCGAAGTAAAATTAAAAATTCTTATTTCTACACGCTAACACCGATACATCGCAGTGGTGTTTTTTGGGAGTTTTTTTCATTCTTTTATACAAAAGGAACACCAGTTTTAATGGACGAACACATGCACACTGTCGTATACCACTGCTATATTCATCTGTTGATAGAAATTCTTATGTTACTATTATTAAAGAAGTGGAATTTCATATTTACTAAACAGCTTATTTGCCTGGATTTTACTGAGAATATAATTTCTCGCCTTGGCAAACGTAAACATCCTTAGAATTACTTCAATGATGCATTAATTCTTAGTAGAAGTAATATATCACTACTTTCTTTTTAGAGTTATATATATATATATATGTACTTATTAAAAATGACGAAATATTTATATATATACAAAAAATTTTAAAATAAATTTAACTGCCAAGTTTAACCACGCGAATTAAAAACTGTGCTGTGTCCGCCCTTAATAAACACTGACAACTGTTCTAGCTCTAGACTGAGGAGTTGTGCAACACCAACACTTGGAGGGGGGAGGCCATGCTCATTTTCACAAAAGAAGTGGGGGGGGGGAGACACGCACCAAGCTTTTTGTTATGAAATGCTAACACGTACAAAGATCCTTTCATTAAATTGTTGTATATAATAACGACCATTCATAATTAATACGAAGCTTCTTCATATAATATATAATATTTATATTATTTATGTTCTTTTGTAGTGTTTATCTCGACAATTATTTTTCGTAGTGTCCACTTTCTCAGTATTTTGTTTCTTCAACGACACAGACTACTTTAAATCTTAGTTCTTTCCTCAAAAACAGAACACACAATACAAGTTCCCCCATGCACGCGTATGCTATGATTCGCACAGTTGTCATAATTTACTGCATAAACAAAAATTTCCTTCGGTATTAAATCATTAAAATTGTAGTCTATTATATCTACATTTTAAAATACAATAATGATATTAATAGTAGGCTAAAAACTGAATCTCACCACCACACTTCCACGCAAGCAGCCTTTTCTTTAATTATAATAATTTATGTATAATAATTAAAATTATACCAGATGAATTGTCGACTATTTTCATACTCGGGGGTAAGTGAACTTAGTAACACTTTTCCTTTCATTTTTGAAAAGCGGGGTAGTGTAGCCAGCTGACACCACACACTCTATAAATAATCGAAATTGAAATATTAATAATTCAGTTGTGGAAGATGGTTGTGAAGACGATAAATGTTCCTATGCAGCAATGTTAATTTGCTTCACTTTTTGATCTAATTCATAAACACTGACAAGATCATACCATTCTATATCCTTATTGGAAACACTGTAACGTTATTCATTTTAATTATATTGATATTATATTCGTATGTAACAGCCTTAATTGTTTTCTGTTTTTGTTCAATAATCACATGTATGGTTACAAGCGTTCATCTTGTCCTATTTACCATACACAGACACAAATGAAGAATCCTATCCAGTGAACTTGAAGCCAGATTCAATTAACTTCTCTCTTCTCTCAATGAACGAATAATAAATAAATTAACGATAGATAAATGTCTGTGAAATCCTCTTGACAGAAACACGATATTCACAACACATAAAATGGTGGAGGATCTGTACAATAAAGCAAAACGCGACGGATTTCCTCCTCAGTGTCTTTATCTTTTTCGTAATTGGTGAATTCGTAACACGTTTCGTCCCAGCAAAACTGAACTTTAGGACGGTCTTATATAGTTCACTTTTGCGCCCGTGGATTTTTATTATTATAATTTAATCACATTTTCTTGAGTGTTACATATGTATTTTCCCTTTTCCGAAAATATGTGCAAACCTATCTCACATCACAAAAGAAAAAAAAAACACTGGACAAGATGGCCTCCATGCATATCACTGAAATATCTACACTAGAACTGCCGATTATTGTGATTCTTGTAGAGATATCGATGACTCGTTTCATTCTTCTACTTGAGATCGTTGAACGTTTATACAAAGCGTTGATGTACTGCCCACTAAGTGGCGCTAGTGAACAGTACTGAATTCTTGTAGTAGCCGGCACGTGACTCTGCAACACACGAGAAGAGGTAAATATAAACATGAAGCAACTACCGCCATTATATCCTGGGTGCATTTTCTTGACGCTTGTAAAAAAACTAACCAAAAAAATCACATAAAACTTTTTTTCGATATGATATAAATTTAATGAAAATAACTAACTTCATGACGTATAACCTTTATTCAAAAATTCATAGTTACTTGTTGATCAGGAACTTCCCTCGTTCTACGGAACTCGGAAGCCCATCTCCACGTTCACAAAAACTTGGCCACTGGACACTATCGTGAGAAAGTTGAATCCACTTGAAACTTCGTTCTATATCTCTGTAATATCCGTTTTAATATCATCCTACCTATACGAAATTATTTCAAGCGGTTTCTTTTAGAGTTTCCGCTGATAAATTTTGTATGCTTGGTACGAGTGTTAAACGTCACACACATCTTATTCATTTATTCTTAGCAATATTAGGCTAAGCGTACAAATGACGAAGTTTCTTAACAAGGAATTTCCTCCATGTCCTTGTCAGTTCCTTTCTTAGGTGCAAATAAGTTCCTCAACACTTAATTCTTAAGCGTAATATGTTTCCTTAACTCAAAACGAGAAATTACAGTAAGAGTATGCAACAAATTAGTTCATGACTGTGCACTGCAATTAATTTCCTAAGAATAAGATTTATGTTTGAATTGCTATCAATCAATAGCAGATTTGTATCTGTAATATATTGAATAGGCTTTTGTGGGGACAATACTTAAGACTTGTATTCTCATTGTGCCCGTTTCAGTTTTGTGCCAGACATATACATATAGTATTGGCAGAGATTTTTCGTGGTTTTCATCAGTTTGGCGGATATCACTCTTATATAGCTTCAAGTAATCTACGACTCAACCATCCTCATTATTATTAAATGACTATTATTGCCAGTGAGAAAAGTAAAATTTAAAACTTGTCATTGTAAAGACTTTAGATTTTGATAATTCGTCGGTTTCACTGGTCTCGAAATTACGATTTAAGCTCGAGGGCTTTTTATAATAGAACTGCGCAGCGAACTGCTTCGCTTAGAAGCACTGGATTTATTTGGTGATTAGGAATATAGGTAAAAAAGTGTTCCGTTATCTCTCAACACTTAAATCTTCAGTGTTTAACAAAATAAATTATTCAGCCCGTGCTATCTAAAACGTAACTAAACAACAGTCACGAACTATGGTAAAAAAGTAAACTAGAATCAGGCACATCACCGTGCAACAGACTTTCCCGAACTCCCCCTCTGACTCTCGAGTCCTGATCATCTCCTTTACTAGGCCGCTGCTCACGCAAAACCCGTGAAGGTGCGAAAGTGGTGTATTAATGAGCAAAACATGATCTTTCCAGAAAAGAAAAAAAATATTTCGCATCAAAATCGTTTACTGCTGTTCGTGAAGTATTTATCAACGTACATTCTGACAAGGCGGTTCCGATTAAGACAACAATATACCAATTGTAAACAAAGTATCCGGACACAAGAAGCATTTTTTTTTGCCAAAACTGCTCATGGAGCGACGAAACAACTATCATTCCGGCCGTAACTTTTTTTTTCGCGAAGAAGATCAAGTATAGTAGTTAGGGTTTCGATTTAAAAGTAACTTCCTTTAATAACCACTGGAACTTACTAACAGTTACTAACAGAAGAAGAAATATTTGAATAAAATTGTTAAAACTGAAGAACTCAGTGAAACAGAATCCTTCTTTAGAACGCAATTGTATCTAAGTGAGTCCACATCTTGTCATCTTTAAGATTCACTTTAATATTATCTTACCATCTACGCCTTGGTAACTGCCCAGGCTCTTCAACAAAAATATTAGTCATATATTCTTTCTCGCTACATTCTCCTCTAGTCTTATCCTGAATGATTTTATATATCTAATAGTATATGGCGAAACCATAAATGGCTGATTGCCCGAGAAGATTAAAAAAATTAAATTCGTGGCGTAACAGCTCCAGAGAGCCAAAGCCGACTAGCTGGCTGCTGGCCTCACGTTCACATGCCTAAGCAGAGGTGAACAATCATCCAACCAGATATAGGGTGACGTGTGGTCAGCACAATAAACCCCCAGCCATTGCTAGTTTTTATGACCGGATTACGCTACTCATTGTAGCTCCCCAATTTCCTCACGATGCCGGTCCCATACACTGGTCGAAAATCTCACGAAAAATTTCTTTCCCCGAGACTCGAACCAGCGCGCATTCCGTATCGCCGGTCCGAAGCACGATGACTCAGACCGCGCGGCTACGGCGCGGGACGCCCGAGAAGATTATATCCATAAATATTCTCATTAATACATTTGAATTCTTATGTCCCTGTACATAGACCACTCATGTATTCATTGCCCGAAACAAATTAAAATCGGAGCGCGATGAGGTGGCACATTTCGTAGTGTGAAGAATAAATTTATCTTAGCCACGTCACATCAGTTCGACGCCCGGCCAATCCACCCTGTCGATTGAATCGTCCTTCTAAGCTGGTAAGGCCCATGAAGATAACACGCAGTGGGGATCGTCTGCAGGGGTACAGTGACGGGACGCCCCTCTCTGTCTGTTTTCGATATTAAATTAAGGGGACAAGGTTCTGTCAGAAACACGGGGCGATTTTTGAGTCTTGGAATGATTGATAGTGAGAGAGCGAGACAGAAAGAGAGAGAGAGAGAGGAAAGAAGAAGCGCGGTGGGAGGAAGTTCGTCCAATGATTGATGAAAGTTCGGCCAGTCGGCCCCACATACAGACAACAACAAAAAAACAAAACAACTATTAAAACCGTATGTTGACGGACGGAACCGCGGAAGAAGGCTTCTCAGTGAGATTTTAGACTAATATTATCGGCTCTCTCTTCTGAGAGAAACCTCTACATCGGGATCTGAGGTTTTAAAAGCGACGCATAACCTAAAACTTTCCTACAGTATTCCTCCTCTTCTTCTGACTTCTCTTACCACCAGTTTCGTAATTAAAGCCAAAGCATCAAGTCATTATGCTCCGAACTGAAGTATTGTTTTCCTTGTTCGCGATGACGTGGGAGGGGTGGGGGTGGGGGGGGGAACTCCGGAACTTCTTATGTGAATTCAATGCCTGGTCTAAGACTAATATCAGAATTTTACTAAACTTTATAGCAGAAGTATACGTATAAAAACATGTACTTTGTTTTATTCAAGTTTTGAATGATAAATTAACTATTGATAAGTAACGTACTATTTTAAATTTTAAATTTAAATGTTGATCAATTGATCCCTCGCCCACACTTCTTAAAGGGCTGATCGGGCTTTAGAATAATGTTAGTGTGTGTGTGTGTGTGGAGCATAAGGCAACGAGTATTTATTTGTTATTGTCGTATTATTACTTAAACAATAAACAGAGTTAAGTATCTTACTGAATAGTCTACATATGTTAAACTTGGACGTGTAAAAATATAATTTTTTATTTCGTTAGCGTGAGGTGTCTGTCTGTCTGTCATTCTGCCTTGCGTATTTCTGCAGGATTTAATTCAGGTTTCTGAGTGGCTAGAAACGTATTGAATAAGCAGTCACGGACAGCTTACAAGGAATGGGTCTTAATGCTTGTGTCTGGTTGACTGCTTAGCAGGTACACGTCGTAAAAAATAGCTGGTTACGAAATGTTACATAGGGCATCGAGCTTGGACGGATTGTCCGAAATGGCGTAAAGATAGGAAAATAGCGGAGGAAACTGTAAACTAATAATTTTATAATTTGTAATCTTTAACAAAATCGTTAACAGGGTGACCGGAACAAACGTGAGATAGGAGAAACAGAATTTTGGTCGTAAAACCTGAATGGAAGATATAAATTCAGAGATGGGAAGATAATATCAAAAAAGAAAATCCTACAGGAACAAGGAGTGAGAATGTGGATTGGATTCCACTGGTTAACACGAAGGCTCAGTGACTGACTCCTGTGAACACGACAAAGAATATTCAGGGAATTACTTAATGTCTTTGTTAGTTTATATGTAATAAAAAAAATTATAAAAAGTCGAGAGATTGTTTCAGGGGATGGAATTTTCTCGAACGTGTTTGTTTAATCTTGTAAGGTCCAACGAGAAGTCAAAACAAATGTATTTGTTTCTTTTATATACACGATTTTAAGTGGTAATTCGTGCCAGACATTAATCGATTCTCTCTAACAAAGAAATAGTGCCCACTGTGACGTAATAGTGTTCATGAACAATAATTTTGAACTGGAAAACGTATAAGATATTACGTATTTTAAGAACACCACTTTTAAAACTGCACACTAGACCTAAATCGTGGTCTGACACCATCACGGAAATTCTACATAATTGCGGGTGCTCATGTTGTAGCAGGCTACTAGAAACGATTATGTTATTCTGGATAATAGCGCCGTGTGGACTTGTCGAAACCTAGAAGGCCAGCATCATCATCTTCACCACAGTAAGATCCACAAATCTCACAAACTATAAGAAAGTGTATAGAAATATTAGCAGCAGTATATAATAATAATAATGGTGATGATAATAACAGTAACAAGTCTAATTTATAGGCTTATCTTCTTTAAGAAAATTCTTCTTCCGTTTTAACAATGTTTATACGTTTTCCGGTACCATTTTACGGGTCCCAAACGTTTTAGTTGGCTTGATCTATGGACATTCGGTAGGACTCCATGGATGAGGGATCGGCCCGCCGCAAGGCCTCTACCTATACACAGGACAGCACAACACAGAAAAACATCCATGGCTTGAGTCGGATTCGAACCCACTGTCCCCGCGACCACGCGGCTCCCTCTTTAAGAAAATTAAAGAATAAAATACACAAACACTTCATATAAAATTGTGCTGTTATTTGTTTGTGGTAGCTACTGCTGTACATCGATGCGAAGTGGCCCAGTAATTCAGACAGTTCGTGAAGGGTAAAATACCTATTAAATTATTGCATCTAAACACGCAAGCAGATGAGTAATTATGATGTAGATTCAACAGGCAGAATCGGCCGGCAAACACTTGTGAATGTGACAGGGATGATGGGGCAATACATACAAGTTTCAATTGACTTGTTAAGTGTCCAAGTTTGAAGAACCTCTCTTCATGTCCTATAATTCATGACTGCAGAAAAAAAGTTTCACTAGACAAATTTTCTTTTAAGTGGATAAACTCTGTACTTTGTTAATTTTGCGTGATACCTCACTAATATGCTAATATACAGAGTCATCTTACTGATCATCTAAAACTTTGAAAGTAGCTCAGTTTGTTTATTTACTTAAAAAGTAACATAACATTTAATTTCGTAGATTTTAAGATTCCATCGATTGTAAGACGCATCCTTAAATCAGTAACACATTTTTATGAAAAAAGAAACACATTACATCTATTGTTAGACGCCATAAAATGTTTGACGCAACTCGATCTTAGACATTTCGAAATGTGGAAAAAGTGCGTCTTAAAATCTTGATTTTATTTCTCTATCAGCCACTTCTGTAACCCAATGGAGCACTTTTAGGGTTGTTGGACGTCCAGTAGTTGGGGGTGGCGATGGCTGATTTTAATGCAATGAGAAATTACTTGGGAGAAGTTTAATTTCAAAGGAGACATCGTTCAGACTTTTAAAATTTGTCATTTGCGAAATCATCGAATAATTCAAGGACACGTGTAGGATGTGTTAATTAAACGGGACTTAATGTTGAATTACATTAGTATTTTGATATTGTGATGTTGACCATGTCTATGATGTTGCATTATTGTATAAAATGCAACATAGTTGCTCACCTTTAAAATTGATAAAATTATAATTTTAATTAGTATTGTTTGTCAGTTTATCATAGTTTCGATTACTGAATTTTCTGAACTCTGTGCATTGTCTGGTAGTTTAGTTTGCAATGAAACCAGTATTTTGGAAATCGAGAATAACAACAGGAATAGGAAATACAATGAATCGGCCCATACGTCGTATTTAACAAACTCAATTAGTCTATCCAGTTTGTAAATTTCTCCCATAAACTTATGGGGAATGTCGCTATTCCACTGAAACTTTCTATTTATATCTAGGCTCTTTCGTTGAGGTCTTTCACTCAAATCTGTGTATCTATTTCCTGTTATCCCCTATGCGTGCTGCATGCCCATTGATGATTTAATAGTGAATCTGGATACTGAGTAATTTTCTCCATAAAAACTGACAAAGAATCACCCAACAAATTAAACACGTTTGTTGCAGGACTTTTAGTGAGCAATAGATAGTTAGACCCATTTTCTTTAAAAATCGATTAAATTTATAACGGTGTATTAGAACACATTTTGTATATATTTCACTTTCCAACCCATGCTGCATATTTAACATATTTTATCCTCCCCGGTGTCTTCCAAATAATCGTAAATATCAATAGGACTCTAGTGGTTATGGAGGTTACGCTTTTAACTTAAACCGCGCTCTTCCATAATATCGCAACTTATGTCGGAATTAATTATTCTCGTTCACTTCATAAGCCATTAACATCAATGTTACCGATTTAGAGGTGACGCAAACAACTGCAGGATCTGCAAATTTTTGTGGAAATAAATATTCGAAATACATATATCGTGCTACTTCCCTTGCAGCAGAATTTATAATAAACTGGTGATGGCCCGAAATCTACGTTTAGATTTCGATTTGACAGCGACAACCAATGACACACTGAGTATATAAGTAGGTCCTACGTGAAATGTGGTATTAAGAAGGATCGTGGAAATACATAAACGTATTTTCTGAATTTTCTTTTGATTTCATATCGTTGATATATTTATTTACTATGTTACAAGTTTCAGAGGTGGGGTAGACTTCATGGTCACTTCCCCTACGTAATGCTAGACATTCTTTCCTAAATATTACTTGACTTATTTCAATATAAAACAATACTTAGTTTATACCCCTAATATTTAGTTCTTAAATTTCTTAAATTATAAATTTACTTAAAACTCCAACCTAAGATTGTGTCTATATTCGGGGCTTCTTTTTATATCTTCAAAATTAGAAACATGGATACTATACAACATTTTTGGGTTATCTAACATCAAGGCCGTAGGTACACGTTGAAACTACAACCACAATTAGATCACTAATTTCTATAAGCTTTTATATGACTGTCTTGTGGGTAGTTGAACCGTGTAGTCTGGAATAAGTTTGCCGACGTTTCAATGGTACTTATGGTCTGATAATAGACGCAGCAAGTACTATTGAAACGTCAGTAAACTTCTGCCAGACTACACGGAGCAGCAGCCCAGAAGAAACCCGTCTTTTTTACACGCCGCCGTGGGAACCTGAAATCTCACACTGTATAAGTTAAATTTATAATATTATTCGTGACAGCCTTCATAAATATATTTAAGTATCTGTAGGCAGGCAGACGTCATATATTCTTCCAGTAAATCTTTGTTAAAAATCACTTTCGTCGTTATTAATATTGCTGACCTTGCAGGGGCGATTTGACGTCCCGTTCAGCCTGCTGTTGTTGTTGCTGTTGCTGCTGTCTGGATTTTCTCTCGAGCTCCAGCTCCTGGGCTAGTGACTCTGCAACACGCAAAACACACAATCACACAACTTGAATACGGACGGGAAAATTAGAGGTGTGATTGTACAGAACGAATGGTTAATGACTTTAGACTTGTTATGCAGTCCCGCACAACAACCTTTATACACTTTCTTAAAAATATCAGCCTTTACTGCGTCCTACAGCAGGTGTTCTATCTTTATACCTTTGTTTTTTCCCTTCATCTTACACCTCAACCCACACCACAATTTCTTAAAAAATGTATTCTATTAAAATGTTTAACAAAGATTGTATAAAATCAAACAAGCAACTGGCTCTTAGTCAGTTAATGCACAACGTAGATAGCGGTGGTGCTGTATTTCTATGCCAAGTGCTTGAAAGAAGAACAGCACAAGATGCTTTTAATACGTCGTGCGGGACTGCACAGCATAAAAATCTTATAAGGCACTGGACGTACACACATTGTATTTTGAGAGGCAGACAATAATGTACACGGCTGAAAGAAATATATACGACAGTGGGGAAGTAATTTTAAACATTTTAAAGAACAACATAAATAAGAATGATAAACACGGACACTGTTACTGATATCAGAGCAAGACCATAAGAATCCTAACCAACAAAGGTCTGTAATATAAGTAAGAAGTGATATTCTTTACAGGGTCAAAATTATTTTGTTTTAATTTCAAATATTTCGGGCGACTTTCTAAACGCCAAACAGTAACCAACCCAGAAGACAGAAATCTTCAAGTTGGCCTCTACCTGGAGGGTCCAAGGAAATATCAGCCAAGCTAACCGGTCTCCGGACCGAGAATTGAGCCTAGGATCACTTGAATACGAAACTTGGGGAAAAGTTCGATTATTTTATTTAACTGTGTGCTTATCGGGGCTATGAAGTTAAACTGCATCAATCTAGAATGTGACTTTCGCGAGTGTCAGACATTTCCGACAGAGCAACTGAAAATGAGATTTCAGGTTCTCAAGCCGGCAAATATCTTCAAATCTTCATGACTGTCTTCTGGGTTATTCTGCCGTGTATTTTGGTATAAGTATAGCAACGTTTTAGAGGTGCCTGCTACCTCCATGATCACGGTGATGAACAATTCTAAAACTTCTGCAAATTTCTACAACACTACACGGCGCAAGCTTCCAGAAAACAGCCATACTCTTACTCGCTACCACGAAAACTGAAAAATCCCAACTATTCTAAATTTACGGTGCATTTCAGTGCCTAAGGGTTAAAGTGAAAGTCGTTGGAGCATCAGAGGCAGAGACTCTAATCAGAGTACGGGGAGGAGGTGTTAATTGCTTTAGTGCAGAGACGCAATGTATCTGCGAGACAGAACTGGACCGTGTAATTCGTCCTGTAACCACAATACAACTTAGCATCACCAGCAGCTTATCCTCGCAGAACCACAAAGTGTTTTGTGGTGCGTCTACAACCCACCCCCACCCCCACCTCTACCTTTCCCCTCGCCCTCACTTCTTATCTTGTTCATTCTTTCACCGTGCCTCATCAACAGAAATCCTCAGTCCAGGTTCTACGTTCAGCAGTTGATTTAAGTTTGAAAAACGTAAATACCCCACCGAGAATAAGAAGCAGATTTTGATCAAAGATTCCATTTCTACGCCTTATTTTTGGAACATCATCTTCCTCTTCTATGAATTTACTCCCTTCTCTTAGTTTTATTAACAGACATACCTCGGAGATATTGCGGGTTAGGTTCCAGACCACCGCAATAAAGTGAGTCACACGAATTTTTTTGTTTCCCAGTGCATATAAAAGTTATGTTTACACTATACTGCAGTCTATTAACAGATATAATAATGAAAAAATTTGAAATATTGCGAGAACAAAATGTGACACAGAGACACGAAGTAAGCACATGCTGTAGGAAAAATGGCGCCGATAGACTTGCTCGACGCAGTGTTGTCACAAACCTTCAATTTGTTATAAAAACAAAAAAAACACAAAGAAACTAACAAAAAACAATATCTGCGATGCGCAATTAAACCAGGTATGCCTGTATTCATGACCGGCAGTTTGCAAATTTGATGTTGTACTAAACACAGAAGATGCTAGTCCTTTGTTTAAAACAGAATTCACCGTCTAACATAATCATTGAATTCACCTTTCTCTTTTATTTATTTTTACTTTACGAATTGGTCCATTAACAGAAAAATTCAATCGAAGAAATATTCCAAGAGTTAACTTCATTTAGTATTTGAGGTAAATCCTTTATTTGACATCCATAAATATTGTTCTTATTGCGCATTCGTTAGACTAAAGTATTGTTCCGAAAGACAGATGTTTCCGTTTAAAAGAGGTATCGTTTAAGACACGTGTTGTTACGGTGCACTCTAATTGTACCTACTTGCGTACTTCGAAATGTGATTAGGCAGTGAAGGAGCTCAGGTGTTCTCACACGTAAGCAGTAAAGCAAAGCAACTCATTTCACACCAACAATAATCTGAATGTTAAAAGACTCATCCCAGAGGGCGCAAAAACTTGGAATTATTATTTTCTAAAACGTTTTCAATCCTCAGCAAGAGATATAAAGAACTAACTACAAAGATATTATATATTCTCCCCTTCAATTTTCCAAGTCGAGAGAGAAGGAGCCTGTAGTGAGGAAATACATTTTCATCCCAATGCTTATATAATATAATCCTGTCCCCTTCTCCAGTTTTCTCTCGCTTACTCCAAAAAGTTTATTCAATTTCACGCTTGGTTTACTACATATTACAATTTAACGTTTTGTTTCCACCCATCTACTCCCCATTCCTTTCTTATCCTTTACCCCGGCGTTTCCTTATTTTCAACAACTTCTTTGCTGCTAGTTTTACATAAAAATGACTTTTCTTTTTGAAGAGGTGGGCGGGTGGAAAACTGGATGAGTATATATTATGTATTTTGTACTTAAAAGCATTTCGGGCTGAAACAAACGGAACAAATGCTTTTAGTAACGTATTATATTAACATCGACAGGCCGAAAGATGGAGACAAAGACGCACAAATTGAATTATCTGTACTCTCTATATGTATATGTGTATGTCTGCACATCAGAATGTTCTGTCGTCTCGCCGTTCAATAAAATTTAATAAGATCCTCAGGCGAGTGTGTCCCCCCCCCACTCCCCAGCACCCCAATTCCCCTCATCCACCTACCTTAAGGGCAAAACGCTACATCCCTCACACAGCTTTTTGACTGCTCTCTCTCACTCATTCCTCTTTTTTTGATTTTTATATCTTAAAATTGGAATTGTTTCAGTAGCTTCATACACTTCCACCCTTGAATTAGATTCGCTGTCTTCTTTCATGTCGAAGTTATCAAAACTGCTTATTTCATTTGCGAGAAATATCAGTTATAGTTTATTTATTTTGTAAAATGTATCTTAATATAAGAATAAAATATAAAATCTATTTACCAAATTACATTACGCCCGTTATTAACAATAATTAATTACCTGTGTGGTACAGTGTCTTTATTAACAATCGCTCTGCTTGCCAAGAAATTCTTTGATTTTATGGACCCCGAAATTCTAATATCTTCTTCACCTCTAACGGATTAGATCCTCTGACCTTTTTCCTAATATCTGCGAGATAAATCTTAATACTACCTTCCTACATACGCGTATGTCTCCAGAGTAGCATTATTTTTCACTAAAATATTAAGACCATATTATTTATTTCTTAATTCATCCCACGCGTGCTACATGCCCTGTCAGTTCACTTCAGAGATAAAGCCTTTAATCGGACATGATCTCCGCATCGTGCTTTCATTTTATAGAGTTTGTGCAAGAAAACATAAAATCCAGCATGGTGGTCATTTATCACGTGGGCCTTGGGTTGCCTAAGTTTGATATCAACACAAATCATAGTTAATAAAACGCCTCTTATAACCGCATCATGCTGTGGGCGCTACTGTTCCCTCATGGGATCGGTCCATCACTTGGACTAGTCGAGTCCAATTATCAATTCATTCCAGTTTGAAGTGGAAAGTTAGCCAAAGGTCTGAATTATTCCTGAGAGTCTAAAGGGAGATTTGAGACAAGGGTTGAAGATGGAATGGCTAAGATACAGGATCTGTTATACTTTAAAATAATCATGAAGGGAATTCATAGGGATTATGCTCCGAGTCTAGTGCGTAACAGAGATGTAGCGGCAAGGCATAACATACATAAAATATACCAACTAGTGTCCCTTTGTTTCTGTGAACAGCGAAAGTGTCTGTAATCCGATTACCTGTCAAATTTTTAGTGTAACGACGTAACACTGAACCTAGTTCAGCACAGAGAGGACGAACAGCACAAAAATTCTTCTGATTGTAATCGATGAAGATTATGGAAAAATATTTGGACCCAAGAAGTAACCGGTCGGTTTCGGTGGTTACAAACTAGTAAATTCGACATTTATTACCTGCGCAGTGTCACACGTAGTGGTATGTCGTGTTGTTAAGACGGATTCCTACAGGTTACGATGGGCTAGAAACGTAGATGATATGTGACGGACACGAATTTCCAAAAATTTAGTACGCGGGAAACGAAGATCTTTAATACTGACAAGAAGTAAATGTGGACCTTAGGGTAGTGATTTGTAAATGAAGGTGTATAACGATTTTAAGCTGTGGTGTTCTCTGGTATTAGCGATGTTAAACTTTTAGGTTAATAATAGGAAATTCATTATAAAGTAAAGTTGTTTTATTCAAGTTATTTATTACTTTTCTTGTGACAGTGACCATAGTTGGCAATAGTTTTGAGTTCAAGATTAGGCATATTATTCAAAGTATTCGTGGTTCGTTTCTTTTAACTACTACCACACAATCGGCTATCTTGACTTTTATGTAGTGTCTAGGCCGTGCTAACAATAGCTAATTTCATTTTATCAAAACGTATCGAGTAGGCTGGCAAGACTCTAATGGTGCCCTAGTTCTGCACTCAGGAGGAATCCGCATTCTTAGTACGCATGCCAGAAAACCTTAAAGTACACCACAACCGCCTCCCAAATCCTTAACCTTCCA